TGTTTCNTCATGACTTGAGACGAGTGTGCTGCCCGCAATGATCGACACTTATTTAACTAATATTTGTTTCTTTTCGTTCATATCTTTTAATTAATTTTTTGGCCGTTTTGGGGGTACGCACGTGTGTACTATCAACTTTCAGTTGGCTACGCCCCTGAAATGCCATTTGCTTGTTCATCAGAATTTGTTTTTAGGGCATGTTGGTTGATATTGTGTTTCAAAATGCTAGGATCGGAGTGCGTTTATTTTCTTTACTCTTTTGTTGAAGGGCTTGTTTTCTTTCTTTCTCTCCTTCTTTCTTCAAAATTCACTTTTGAAAGGCTTGTTGTCAGTTAGATTTTATGGATAATCTCTATCAGCTGGTGTTCTCTTCAAATAGTATTTTTTATGAGTTTTAATTTCCTCAAAAATTAAAGTATCTCCTTATACAAACCCCTTTTTGTCACCTAGTGGGCCATGAGGAAAATTGCCTTTATTGCATGGAATGTTTCAGTACATGTAAGTTACAATATAATGAAACCCGTTAGACTTGTTTGTTATATGTTTTTGTTAGCTTTTTTGGACCTGACCGTGCACAACGTTCAATTGCATTCCTATCATTTTGAACTTACTGACCAATAGAAACATTGCATTAATTTATCCAGTCACAATCTGTGTACGAAAAACAAAGGATTGTGCACGATCAACATACACTGCGGCACCGTTGTTTTCAACTTTGATGTTTGCCGGCTTTCATAGCCAGTCTCCTCTGCTAACTATGAACGGATGAAACGCAAAAGGGAGACTAACAGGCACGTCATCTCATTTTACTTTGCCTCTCTAACGACTCTAACGGCTCTATCATTACGCCTGAGACGGCAGGTTTACTCAGTGACATTTACATTCGTGTCCCTGAGAAAAACAGGAAGATAATCCACACATTCCGTGCGGTTCCTCGCATCATATTGGCGCATATATAACAATTACATTAAAATTTCAAAAGTTGTTTATACTTTTTGTTGCCGCTTTTTACCCGGATAATTCAGTCTTTTGTGAAAAGATGCGTATGAGCCTGGGTACAATGGAATTAATACGAAACAAATCGGCGTCAGTTTTAATTCCTAAAACACGTGAAACAATTTTTTGTCACTAACATGATTTGTAACACAAGAAGGCCTCTCTAACGGCTTTAACGACCGCCAAACCGAGACAGCTTCACTGATGTGTAAATCGGTTCCTCTGAGAAAAGCAGGAAGTGATTAATCGTTATTTTACCAAACATTCCGTGAGGTTTTACGCATCATATTGGCGCTTTACGATCGCGTTCACTGGGACTCTTCTGAGTGTATTACCTATTCTATAGAGTACCAAGGACTCACTCTGCTAAGGTTTTAACTTACTTAGAACTACGCAGGCCGTGGGAAATAGTAGGACATGTACCAATATCAATGAGTAGAGGCTGACTATTCATCAGTTAAAGCACGAATGTACGTAGAAAGCGGCATAATAATTGAGAAACGGACTATTATCATCAGATCATCTTGCTGTGGACTGACTAAAATAGCATTTTTATGGTTGAAAGGTTGATCTATCATTTAAGCCAAAAGTTAAATGAAACCCGTTAGAATAAATTGTAGACGTTTAACCTTGAAGATTGGGCTTCCTGCGTTATCTCCACTATTAGAAACGCCCTTTCAAAGGGAATAATAAGGCTTTCATAATGGATTTCAGTTGTTCAAAATAGCGACCACAAGTCGAAGTTTTTGGTCTTCTCATTAATACGAAAAGCAAAACGAAGACAGAAATACTTAGGGGAAAAAGTGAAGCTTGGCTCTGTATTGAGCCCCATCATGCATCGCAAGGAAGCCAACAAAAGGAGAGCAATCTAGGCGGAGTTAGAGGGGGAGAAATTGTCGATACATGCTCGATTACAAAAAAGGGGAGAGGCTTTGGTAACTGAGGACTCCCTCCGCCTCCTCTGATCCTGAAATAAATTTTTACAAACATTTAACTAAACTTGTACAGCCTGGAAAACACAAAAGACTACTACCCTCTACTGAATATCCATGCGTTTCCTTGTTAACACAAAGGCATCAAAACTTTTGCGTCTATACCAGCCTTTTCGCATTGTTTTCCACCGCCCACACTAGCTAAGCCATTGCACCTCTCGCGGTGCAATTATAAGCTTGTAAACAAGACAAGATCAACAGTCAGAGTTAAAAGAGACTTAATAGCAGAGCCGCCACTCCAATGCCTTAAAAATTGGAAACCTATCGATGCGACAAAATTTGGTTATGACATCAGCGTACGCCCACCTGTCCGTCCGTACAGCCCACACGATTCCGGATTCATAGCGTGTTCAAAAATTTCCGCTCTGGAGAACGGATTCATAAAGGTTGCGGGTACGCATGCCGGATTCACCGGACACGTGTGGACGGAAGCCGAATCCGGAAAGAAAAAGTTGCGGATTCAAAAATATCCGGATACGTGTGGACAGGGCCTGAGTATTTTGTAAGAGCATGTAAACTTAATCTAAATTCGCTTAAACGTTTAATGATACATGGTGACTTCTAATTCAATTAATGTTTTACTCAGCTATCACTGCAAAGCCGGCCATTTAATCAACTTAAAAATACTTGATAATTACTCTAAGTGAATATCTTTCCATCGTACCAGTAAAAGCGTTGGGATTAGCACGCGCCACTTTTGAACCATTTACTGTTCGTCAATGGAACCATATTCTTTTCCAATGGTTTTCGTTGCCTAGGGAAAAGCTGTCAAGATGTTTAACGTACATTAAAGAAAACTGTAAATTTACAAAAGCGCTTGCATCGTTTTTGTTGGACTTTTATATGCTAGCTGATCTTCAGCATCCCGGCTACCCGTATGTGTACCGTCCTCTAGAGAGTGTAGGAGTTTTTTCAATACTGCTATCGCCGATTTTATTTCTATCTTTGCGATTGCGGCGATTTTATGAAACATGGCTTGAGGTAAAATTCAAGTCTATCATGGAACACTTTGCCTCACGATGCATTTTTGTTGTATATTAATGTCAAGCTTGGATTTGGAAAAAAACTAAACAAACCAAATTCTTATTTTCCTGCACCCTCCCAACTTCTTGCCACAGCCAACAATCGTACCAGACATGCTAAAAAGGGATTACAGTTAAACTGTCCTCGATGTACACAGAGGGGGCCATACAGATTATGTACACATGCTTAAGAGAACGTCTTGTTTTAATATTAATGTCAAGCTTGGATTTGAAAAAAAACTAAAAAACCCAAATTCTTTCCCCCCCCCACACACACACCCCCCTCCCCCTAAAAACACCAAAACTTGGCGATTTTTTAAGGGTCAGCGAATTTTTTTTCAACGCGCGCTGTAAAAGACTACGTTTTTTTTTTTGCAGCAATCTTAGCAATCGTCGTGAAGGTAGCGATCCTAAAAGAAAGCGCGTTTATTAAACTTATTAGTGTTCTTGTTACTTTCCGTGTTGTCAGCAAACCGAAATTTCCATACTGTAGATATCCGCGAAAAATCTGCTCACTCGACGAAAGTCGGGACGTTACAGCAAAATTTCGATGTGAACTTTCGCAAGACTGAAAGGACGAAATTCGACGCGGAACTTCGCTTTCATTTCTTTTGCACATTACTTCTCTTTTGTTTCAAAAGTTTCGGAATCCTAACGGTTAACCCTATTCTGACCGGAGGGCTTTTTGGAGTTACCCCTCGTTAAAAAGGTTGAATGGCTTTATAACCGTTCAAGCTATGACAACCAAACTTTTCTCTAAAAATTATCTGGGGTTATTTTAAAGTCGTCGTGACGTTACCATGGCAACCAAGTTTTGACAGCCATGTTTTTCAAAATTTGCTTTTTTCCTATAAAAAATGATTTATTTGTATTTGTACTAATTGAATTTTGGCATTACACTTAATTTAGCAAAATTTCATTAAATTTTTTACGGGTTTGAAGTAAATATTGAATACATTTTATATATTCAAAATGGCAGATCCAAGACGTCGGATGGTTCCAGACCCTTCTTTTACAATGAATGACGTCATCATGACATCATTGCTATTGTTCAAGATTATTAATGTGTTAACCATCTTCTTGATTTTGTCAGACACCTTACTATTTCGTCAAATTGCGTCATTAAATCTATCACGTTATGCCTGAGGGAGTGGATGTTGAAAATAATGAGTACATTATTCCGAGTAATTTTGGTGGCCGTTTCATGAGTAAGTTATTGAGGGGGGCCCCTGAAGCCTCCACGGGTTTTTAGCAAAAAAAAAAAAGCCCACTCTGAAAATTGCTTTTATTCAAATCCACTGGACTTCTTCTACCTGAAATTATTATGCTTTATCTAGCATTTCGAAACTTTATTTATATGCTCTGAAAATGATCCATTTCCACTTCAATTAAGATCTTCTGCCGCAGGACATTTCTGGGACAAAAACTCTAGCTAAGGGCAAGAGCCTGCTAAGGGTTAATCAAGAGTTACGTTCTCTCTAGAACTGGTACAAAAATTATGGAATGAGAATCCCCCACTGAGCGAAGAACACGCTCTACGCTTGAATTGAAAATCTTCCTGCAGCAAATTCCAAACATTGATTGTCCCCTATCGTCTTCCCTTTTTCCCTTTCTTCTTTTTTCCTCATTTTGTCTTTTCGTTTTGCTTGTTCATTTTGATTGTTACTGAAGCGGTTTAACCTTAATTTTTAAAATTTAGTTACTGTGTAAACCCACACGCCCAGATTAGCTCTTGAGCTTTTAGCCGGAATTTCCAAGTTGCTTAAATTGTTAAATGAAGTTGCTGTTGCTGTTATACTACCTGACTTCGTGAAAGCACCTGATTCTGTAAGTTTGAGAATCACAACAAATACTCTCATGATCACTAGGGTCTGTACCTATTTCAAGCAACTAAGTGGAAAATAACAATCATGTTTTTTTTGTTCATCTTACCAGGTTTGTTTTGTAAGTCTAAGAACTTATGTGTAGCGTTTCTTAAGTAATCCTTAAATCATTTAGTTTTAGGTTTTAGTTTCATTTCGCTCTCCAAAAGGTTATTCCAATACCAATAATAATTATTGTGTCCATACGGGGCGTTAAGATCTGAATTGGCACAAGAATTGTACCACCAGGCACTTGCACGATTTTTAGCAAAGTTACTGCTAGTCTTGTCATTATCGCGATCCGTGGTGGAGAAAGACATGCCGTTATGATAAGCGAGTCTGTCCTTTGCTGTTCCAGGGTAAAACCCAACAAACAGCGTATAGTTGGTAGCCTGATTAGTGACTGTGAAATTACTGTATTTAGCGTACTTAATTTCATTGTTCCTTGTCTTAATATCCACGCGCAGCTGACTGGAAATCTCTGTCAGTTGATGAATCTTCTCGTTTCCAAGCCAAAACTCACCTCCGACGTCACCAAAGCCGTTTTTGTACTCCTCCCACCCCCTGTAGAATCCAACAAAGCCATCAACGCGCTTGTGAAATACCGTCCATCCTCCCCCATCAGTCTTCATGTCACAGAACACCTCAAAACTGGTTTTGTTTGTTGGGTTCACTGTGTAAACGCCATTCTCTTTGAAGCCCACAGAAAACAGTTCAGCACAGTCTCGGGCTGCAAAAAGTTAAACAAGTATGGATTTAATACAAATATGGATTGAATACACAGAGAGATTAACTAACTTTCTAATTAACACTGATGCACAATTGCAACATACGAAATAAAGTGGAACTACAAACAGTGCATATTAATCCAAAGCATGCCAAGTAAACCGGGCGACTTGAAAATAAGCTAAAATATTTTGCTTGCAAACGCGGGACCAATTTAATTAACTTTAAGTGTAATTTACAAGCGCGAATAGTGTTTTAAGCTCTAAAACAATAGCTGCACTAGCAAGTGAATGTGTAGAAAATTCATATGGTTATGCACTCAACTGTCTGTAAACTTTTCGACTATGATAATCTTAGTACTAAGGTTTCCCTCCCTCCTTAAAAACAAAATGAAAGCCGAACGCCAAAACGTCTTTGCCGTGAGCAAACGTTGGAGCATTTGACAATGCTTTTCAACTGACACTTTTTTTGCCTTAACCCGAGATTAAACATCGTATACTTCTCAGCATTTCTGATTTGCCACTGCTTACCAGTTTTAACTATAAGTTGCACTTCAGTCTCCACCTGAAGCAAGCCACTCCTGGCTGAGCAGGTGTAAACACCACTGTCTTTCGCCGTCAAACTGTTAATCCTTATCTGACCGTCCTTCGTATGTGTACGTTCCTCTGGAATTTTTCCTTTGCATTTTGACCAAGTGATAGTTGGTACTGGTGATCCATCTGCAGAACAATTCAGTGTAACTGAATGTCCATGATAACGTTCTATCTTCTTTGGTGGCTTAACAGAAAACTGCGGGACCACATTAATGATCAAAGTCGTCATGGCGTGCGAAGTGCCCATATGGTTTGTGGCGGTACAGATATATGTTCCTGCATCCTTCCTGTCTGCTTTTTTTTATAGTCAAGGTGTGGTCTTTGACTGTGGCCTTTTTCCCAGGAAGTTCATCAAAAAGCTTAGTCCAAGATACTACAGGAGGGGGATATCCAATAACGTGGCATTTAGGAAGCACCACATCTCCGCCGCTCTCTGCGTATATCGGCCCAGGGGAGAGAGAAATGTCTGGACGAGCTGTTATAGAAAGGAACATACGGTGAGAAGAAGGTTGGTTACCCAAACAGTTACTGGCCTTAACTTCAGTGATACACTAGAGTATGCAGTTAATCAAGAGGTCGATCGATTTTATTATTAAATAGAGAGGTTTTCAATAGATTAGTTTCGAGGGCAATTCTAGAGAGTTCGTTTGATTTTCCATAGTTACACGTTGGTTGTCTGAAGTCTTGTCCCACTTAATTAATTACAACCTTTCAGAAAGAAAAACCAAAATAATTTTGTGACTTGCTCACACGAGGTTTCATTGACTCCGACTACGTTTATTCACTTCTTTGTTCGATTGGTCGCGTGATAGTGAGCGTGGTTGATAGTTTTGTGACGCTGATAGAATTGCAAAACATTAGTAATTGTCTGGTCATCAATCTCTAAAGCAGGTCAGATTTTATTCTTACCTTTCACATTGAGTGTGACAGCAGCTTGAGCTGTCCCTTGGTTAGTAGTAACCGTACATACGTAAATTCCATTGTCACTGACGATCACATTTTTGATGTACAGCGTCCCTTGGATGATCGAATGTCTTAACTCAGCAATGCAGCATGTCCAATTTCTTGAACAAACCCTGCTCAAAACAATGTGCAGTTTCTCTCCCACTGAAGTACCCTGCGAGCAGAGGCCCTTCGATCTTCCTAGATAAAATGAGCAAAGCGAAAATAAGATGGGCGCGACTTGGGAAAGGGGGCGATGGCGGAGAGAGAGCCTGTTAGCACTTCTTTAACGACCCTCTTCCGCCCATTTTTGTCACGTCTGGATTCGGATGTCAAAACTGTTAACACTTCACTTAGCTACAGCTCAAGTTTCTCGCGTGAGCATTGCACGCGACGCGAACTCCTTGTGCGATGTGCGGAAATTTATGTCTTCGAATTCGTTATCCTGTGAGAGCATTCGTTTTTTTCTCCCTAGTTTATAGCAATAAAAGGGGGCGGTAAGTTTTTTGCTCTGTTGGGTAGGTTATGCTCTGGAAGGTTCTACATTGTCACTGAACAAATGTGACTTTAGCCGCTTGTTTCACACTGAGAGGTCATGGCACACATATCGATTTACTGTGGCGTTTGTTTCTGGTCGGCAGGATTTGCCCTCTGATGAGAGAGCATTTTCTTTGACCTCTAATTTGAAGCGTAAAGCTTTTTATTGAGGCACAATAAGGGTTTTAATTTTCTCCAAAGTGCCTTCTGGATCTGACTAACTAAGTGATTTTCTTTAGTCCGTGAATTAATCTAATATTTTTCTGCAATGTTGTATCACGCTGGGCCCAGCTCGTTAGTTTTTTTTTGCGGAATGTTAAACTATCACAGATAGTGATTTACAGATCCAGAATTATAAGAATGAAGTGCAGCTTAAACTTAAGCTACATCAACTAAGGAGAATTGCATTGTGACTTAGTAAACGCCAGCTTGATAGTGTTTCTCTGAAAATAGTGTGAGTCTTTTGACTGGAGCGCATAGTTTCTCCCTTGATAATAGCGGAATAAGCTTAACACTTTGGACTGTTTTGTTATTGCCACTCTGTGATCAACCAGGACTCCAGATTACCTAAAACAATTTCGCACTTTCCCTCTCTCGTTTTCTTCTCGTCCTCCTCTCCCTCTTCACCGATGCCAAATAGCTGCAGCCGAAAATCCAAGATTTTTCAGTTGTTCCACTTGGTCTCGCATTATAGATATCAGCGGCGAAACGACTGTTATCGTAGAGTTTTCTAGGGTTAGAGCAGCTTTAGCCAAGCGTGGGAATAGCTGAAAGTTAAACTTTTGCCGAAACCGGTGGGCATAATACCATTAACATCTTTACCGCGAGCCAAGTCGCAGACACTCGTCTCAAGCACAAGACAACGCGGATTCATGAAGATCACACGCGCAATTCGCGTTAGCCATCTTGGTGATGACAAACTGATGACCACGCTACTAGGTGATGATGTTAACTGTCACAATTGACCAATCAGAGGGTATATCAGGAGCTGATATACCGGAACAGGCCGTTAAAAAAATGCGTACAGGCTCCGCCGCCCTGTCTCTCCCCAGCCCCCGCGCGTTTTTCGCATTTCTTATTACTGAACGACTTTCCACCACTATCTCGGAGCCTGGAACAGGCTACTCTGCATGTTGCTTATAAGACAGTGCATGCAGATCTTGGTTCAATAGTTGCTATAACATTTTGACAAGTACTTGATTAAGTGGTTTTTCTTGGCAGATACTTGGTGATCAATGTACAAGAGGTTGTAGATTTTGTTCTGTTAAAACCAACAAGAAGCCTCCCCCTCCTGATCCAAATGAGCCTGCAAACACTGCTGAAGCCATCAGGCGCTGGGGATTAGATTATATTGTCATCACCTCTGTCGATAGAGATGGCAGGTTGTGTTAGAATATGCATGTGTGTGCATGGCTAGTCAGGGTGGAGTATTGTTTGACAAGACACAAAATGACATACAGCTGCATGGGGGACTAGAGGCATGTTGGCAGACATTCTTTCTTGCTTTTGTTGCCTTAAGATGCAAAATATTTATTGAAAGATCTTCGCCACCCTGTTGTCCATCACATATATGAACTAAAAGTGAACAGCGGCCTTTTCAGTCACTTGTAATAAAGGAACTATAAAGTTGGCATTAAAATACATGTAACTTTCAATAGGCAAAGAAAGTTTTAATGGCATTAGAGCAAGACAAACTGTTTGTTAATTTTGTTTTTGATTTCAAGTTGCATCTGATCTGTGAAAACATAGGTGATGTGTCAAAATCAAATCAAAGTAGGGTTTTTTAATCTTGAAAATTTGATCCATGAGTCACTGTTAATAGGTTTTTTAAAACCAAATTTTGAATTTCAAACCCTTTAAGAAGTGTTTATTTTTCAAGAGGTGGGTTGATTTGGCTTCAAATGCGAAATAGCATTATGATATGTCATGTCATTTTGGTTAAACAGAGTATTTATGTTTGTCTCCATTGGACATGATGGTTTTCTAGGTCTAGGGATAACGTTTTTTGTTGCAAGTGCACTTTTGCCTTCATATTGACTCCTTCAAAAAGATGCATTTTTCTTTTTCTTTCTTTGTGGGCATCCCCCTTTTCTTACCACTCTTATTATTAGCCATAAAGGACAGAAGTAAATTTTTTTGTTTAAAGTATATACAGATATGCACCAATCAAACCTAGTCTCTAACATTGTACATTTAAGTCATACCATTTTTTATTTATCAAAAGCAAAAGACATTGTTGGACTTAACTTGAGTTTGGATTGTGTAGAGATAGAAAAGATACAAAAATTTCAGTCGGCAAAAGGAAATGGGGACAAGGTTCATGAACCAAAAGGCTCATTCACTGGCTAGTTTTAGAGTGAAAGCTTTTATTACTTAGGTATAGGTAATCTGTTCCTGTTTGTTTCCTCCAAATCCCTCACATTATGCATAGCGTGAGTTCTTGTTAAGTTGAGTGTCTTACTCCACTTAATTCCAGATTTACCTGATGGTGGAGCTGCACATTTTGCAGAGACAGTCACTCAAATAAAAACGAGGTAAATATAAACAGATGCATCAGCTACATAATAGGTAATTAGAATGAATGAGTGTTGTATACATGTAACTGATGCACACTGTTTTCTCAATATTACCTATCTGTTTTAGGAGTCCAAACATACTTGTTGAATGCTTGACAGGAGATTTCCGAGGTGACATGAAAGGTGTAGAAACTGTTGTAAAATCAGGGCTTGATGTCTACGCTCATAATGTTGAGACAGTTGACAGGCTGCAGCTGTGAGTATAATCAATTTAGTCTTTTTTGTTGGACTGTTGAATTTTTCCTCAACTCATGCAGAAGTGTTGTAACGGTAGTTAAAAAATGCGGCTTTCGTGGCAGAGGCAAAGATTTGTTGATGTTCGTTTACTGGTATGAGTAGAGGTGCATGCCCTCATTAAAATCAACCCTTTAAACCCTAAGATCAAAATTTTATTCTCACTATTTTGTTGCCCCTATTCATTTCCTACTAAGTAGTGGGGAGAAGTTGATAAGGTATCAAGCGAATTCATCTTGTGTGATCATGTCTGTAATTCTCATGACCACTCTGTTTTACAAAGCATTGATATTATAGGGAGAAATTCGATGCTGATCACTCTTAAGGTGATGTTACACAGGTCGATTTGCAACGACGATTTTTAGCGCAACACAGCATTACAACATTGTTGTTACATTGTTTCAAATGGCTGCAATATTGTTCCAACATTTGAACGCTGTGTTGCACTAAAAATCGTTGTTGCGTATCGTCCCGTGTAACATCACCTTTAAGGCTTAAAGGGTTAAACCAACTCTCTGTGTCTGCATATCTGACAAAACCATCATCACATGCGATATCGAAAAGATAAAACAATTTGTGGGGTAACCACATCATTACGTAGTTTCTGGTCAGGTATTAACCCATTCAGCCTGATCCGCCCATAACCACCTATGCAGATCCTATTTACCGCTTGTCATGTTATCAATTTTAACAGTCACTAACGACTTTGACATCTACCTTGCGCAGGGGGAACTGAACAGATTTCTAAAACCATACCTAAATGAGTATGATTCAGTCCAACAGGCCTGAGAAAATTGCAAGAAACCAAGTAAAGTTGACGCGAAAATTCCGATGAAATTCTTGTTCCATGACCCTACTGCTAAAGAGGCGAGAAAGCAAAAGGTAGAGGTCGAGAGGGCAGGGTTAGAGTAAGAAACGTTGGTTTCTGTGCATGCCGGAAATTCGGAAGCTGTTACTTAGAAACCTCAAAGTGCTCGACCCATAAACAATGTTTTTGGCTTTATTTGTCCGTCCAGTGACCAGAAAACGGCTTGACCAACTTGAAATAGCGTTTTTCGGTCGGTAGGAACGGGTTAACAAAAATTAATATGCCGCTTTTGTATGTACTGGAACTCTCCTTTACTTTGAATTGGATATATGCATGTCTAGGTGTACGTGCTTTTCAATAAAAAAATCCCTGTTTTACGGCAGACTTGTGCGCGACCCGAGAGCCAACTATAAACAGTCATTAGAGGTGCTGAAACATGTGAAAAGAATTCAACCAAACATGGTAACCAAGAGTTCTTTGATGCTGGGACTGGGTGAAACTGATGATGAAGTGTTTCAGGCCATGAAAGGTAAACATTATCTTATTCAAATTAATTCACCATTTTCGGTCAACTGCTTTTTTTTAAAAAAACCGTAGAACTAAATTGCAATTGTTCACAAAAAGAGAAGTTTTTAATTATTTATCTTACGCTTTACCCCAAATAAAAAGTTTACCCTTTTTAGGGGGTGGGTGAACGTTTTTCTAGGTCCACATTTTTTTGGCCTTTTTTGATAATGGTGGAAGAAAACGAGCAGTGCTTGCTGCAAATTAATGTCTCTAACAGTAGGAGAAGTAAATCAGGCAGTTAGTTTCATTTATTGCGAATGGATTTTTTTTCAAATACCTCGTTTTTGTGGCTTACAGATCTGCGTGAGGCCAAGGTAGATTGCGTGACATTAGGGCAATACATGCAACCGACAAAGCTGCATCTGAAGGTACCGTAATTTAGAACGTTTGCTGTGGATCATCCTCTTCTCGTTACTACGATTTTTAGCTGGCATTGTCACAGTAAATGGCTTGAGAGCAAGCAATCGGGTGGGGATGGTCGGGCAGGAAAAGAGCGTTTTCTCCCCACCCCATCCCCTCCTTTCTTGCGAGAGTTTGCTGGCAGGCTCAAATTAAAAACTTTGTTATAACAAGTTTCTTAACTGGCTGATCTTTGGTGCCCATTTAATGCACTTATTTTCGCCCACATCATTTTCGTGCAGGTTACAGAGTATATCACCCCTGAGAAGTTTAAGCATTGGGAGACAGTAGGAAATGAGCTAGGCTTTGCATACACCGCCAGCGGGCCACTTGTACGGTCATCCTACAAGGCTTGTGAGTACAAAACTGACCCCCAAACCTTCATAACCCTTCATAAGAGACGCATGCCAGAAAAAAGAAACTGCAGGTGCAAATTAAAGAAGCAAACTTACAGCTCGATTGCAAGTTTCTATAGAAGTTTAAATATTTAATCACCTCTTCGTGTTGTAGAATACTAATTTTCTTATTCGTAACTACAATCTACAGTCAAAATTGTTTGATCTGATTGGCAATGGCAACTGGAAGTCCTTATTGCAGGATTACATTTAACTGGGCGGATTAACTAGACAGTAGGGGGCAGTTGCATTCGAATGGGGTTTTTCCTTACAACTATAGTACAGTGACGATGACGATACGATGACCATAATGATGATGATGACGATGACGACGACGACGACGATTATGATGATGATGATGGTGGTGGTGTTCGCGGAGATGCAATGCTGTCCCCAGGGATTATCCTGGGGACGGACGAGGTTGGTGTTGGTGTGATGACGACAACGAAGACGAAGGTGGCGATCATTCTAGGCTTAATGTGAAGAGCCGTAATATACAAAAACATAGCTTAATATAGTGCATATGTCTGATCCAACACAGGGGAGTTCTTTCTGACAAACTTGCTGAAAACAAGAGGAAGCGAAATAACAGAAACATGATAACTTGGAACAAGAACGTAGCAAATGTTGGCCGGCAGGATTCAGTGGAGATGCAATGCATCGCCTCATTTGGATTTTCGCGTAGTCGCCAGTTGCTCTTTCATGTTGAAGCTGTGCTGCGGACCCACACTGTATGATGGAAAGACTTGAAGTAAAATCTATCACTGGCTTTAAGTTACCAAGGACACGCGTGACAGCTGATTAAGCTGCATGCACATCGGCAGCGTGCACGCATCGAGAAATAATGATCTTGGCATCTGCTGTTGAAACAAAGCCAAGACAACAGGGCGGAAGATTATTTTCTGCTTTCCACTATTGATGTCAAAGAGCTGACACATGGAATTATGTTGTTGACTCAAATCTTAACAACACTGATGACAATCCAATACATTTGTATTAGTTAAAAAAGAATTTTACCTTTATTGCGTTGTCGTAATTTTTACGTGTTTCTATCTTGCGGATGAGAGGGATGCGAGGAAATTTCATCCCTAAAATGATAGAATATCTACCTTTTCTTGACCCCAAGACCTAGGGGCTTTGAATTAACTTCACAAGCTGCTAGACAGTGCTCTACCCTTGAGACAAGAGCGATACAAATGTTACAGACTTCATGCTATTTATTGCAATATACAATTCATCAGTCATCTAATTTTAGAAACAATTTTGAATTTCAAAGGACAAACTTTTATCAGTGCAAAAAGAGAAATTTTGGGAAATTGTCTCGAACGTTTTAACCACTGGTCTTCCAAAACGGATCTTACGCGTCTTCATTAACTGATGGCTCCTTGTGTATGTGTCCAAGCTGGCACCGAGTGGTTCTTACTTTTTGCATCTCCTTGAAAAATTTATTTTATTTCACTTCATTGATAATCTAAGAGCAATTAATTTTTTAAGAGATGTTGTGAAAGATGATTGAAGAACGAAAACACGGATTAAACCCTATGCATGATAACGGAGATGACAAGTTAATCAAGCTCGTCATGTGTTTTTCCTTAATTCCAGCATCAAATGTTCCATTCATCTGTAAGCCTCCCTGCTGATTTGCCCTAATCATTGAATAATAATTCTCAACACTCCCATCACATTTCTTTTTACTTAATTACGGAGATATAAATATTCCCCGATGTTCTGTTTTGAGTTGTTAACTTGGGAAATGTTAATGCGACAATGTCGACTCCTAATAGTGAGTCGCACATTTATATTCCCACAATCCTGTGTGTACTTTTCGCACTCATTTTTAGCTCGTTATTTGTCAGACTGGAGCTGAAATTAGTGCACTTTGAGGAAAGAATGAAAGAGTTCCAGAAAGACAAGGAGAACTGTTGTGCGAAAGGTGAGGCGGAAAAGTTGTCATTTTAGAACCTTTTCAGTACGCTCGATAGTGACGTAGCTGACTGTGGAAAGTAAAAACTATATATTACCAGGAGGGAAGTTTTTAAAAACTTTTAACGATCAATTGGATGCAGCTTTTATTTACCAAAACCGCTGTGTACACGTCAGTCTACAAGAGAACTGACTTTGACTGATGAAAAATTGCGTTCGACCATGCACTCCACGTGGACACTCAAGTATATTTGGGAACTATATAAAGTAACCACGACGGCGACGGACAGCCAAAAATCTCGGGATAGATTAGAAAAGCAACAACTTTGCACGCTTTTTTGTACATTTCTTTTCCGTTGTTCCATGACTACGACGTGAAACTCCCTTCGTTTTTCCGAACTTAGACCAGTCCTTGAGAATCGACTCCACCAAAATTCCCCAACATTAGAAAATTGAATGAAATGCAACAAGGGTCATGATCTTTGAAACAGCGCGAACTCGCTTTTCAAGTGACGTTTTCGCTGCCTTTGCGTTCGTGGTTGCTTAAGCTCCATATCGAGAACGGTGAAATATCATCAAAATTAGAACATTGTTATGTAACGGCATGTATCATGTGACGCGAAATAATGGCAAGAAGTGATGCTATCTTATTCCAGAACAGTCTACAAAAGGGAAAGAAGACTCATTTTTCTAAAGCCACTTTTATCTCTTGCGGTGCCTTGGCATTTCAGTAGATAGTTCAAAATAACATTTAAATGTCCTTAATTTCCAGCTATTATTTTAAATCATGACTAGATTACTTCACCACATGAGAGATTTTAAATTTCTCGGTCACGAGCAAAAAGGCAGGTTGAATTTCCTCTTAATGAAAAGGTGATGAAAATGCCATGTTTCACGCATTTCGAGTTTTCATAACTGGTTTGGTGCTGAAACATGTGAAAAGAATTCAACCAAACATGGTAACCAAGAGTTCTTTGATGCTGGGACTGGGTGAAACTGATGATGAAGTGTTTCAGGCCATGAAAGGTAAACATTATCTTATTCAAATTAATTCACCATTTTCGGTCAACTGCTTTTTTTTAAAAAAACCGTAGAACTAAATTGCAATTGTTCACAAAAAGAGAAGTTTTTAATTATTTATCTTACGCTTTACCCCAAATAAAAAGTTTACCCTTTTTAGGGGGTGGGTGAACGTTTTTCTAGGTCCACATTTTTTTGGCCTTTTTTGATAATGGTGGAAGAAAACGAGCAGTGCTTGCTGCAAATTAATGTCTCTAACAGTAGGAGAAGTAAATCAGGCAGTTAGTTTCATTTATTGCGAATGGATTTTTTTTCAAATACCTCGTTTTTGTGGCTTACAGATCTGCGTGAGGCCAAGGTAGATTGCGTGACATTAGGGCAATACATGCAACCGACAAAGCTGCATCTGAAGGTACCGTAATTTAGAACGTTTGCTGTGGATCATCCTCTTCTCGTTACTACGATTTTTAGCTGGCATTGTCACAGTAAATGGCTTGAGAGCAAGCAATCGGGTGGGGATGGTCGGGCAGGAAAAGAGCGTTTTCTCCCCACCCCATCCCCTCCTTTCTTGCGAGAGTTTGCTGGCAGGCTCAAATTAAAAACTTTGTTATAACAAGTTTCTTAACTGGCTGATCTTTGGTGCCCATTTAATGCACTTATTTTCGCCCACATCATTTTCGTGCAGGTTACAGAGTATATCACCCCTGAGAAGTTTAAGCATTGGGAGACAGTAGGAAATGAGCTAGGCTTTGCATACACCGCCAGCGGGCCACTTGTACGGTCATCCTACAAGGCTTGTGAGTACAAAACTGACCCCCAAACCTTCATAACCCTTCATAAGAGACGCATGCCAGAAAAAAGAAACTGCAGGTGCAAATTAAAGAAGCAAACTTACAGCTCGATTGCAAGTTTCTATAGAAGTTTAAATATTTAATCACCTCTTCGTGTTGTAGAATACTAATTTTCTTATTCGTAACTACAATCTACAGTCAAAATTGTTTGATCTGATTGGCAATGGCAACTGGAAGTCCTTATTGCAGGATTACATTTAACTGGGCGGATTAACTAGACAGTAGGGGGCAGTTGCATTCGAATGGGGTTTTTCCTTACAACTATAGTACAGTGACGATGACGATACGATGACCATAATGATGATGATGACGATGACGACGACGACGACGATTATGATGATGATGATGGTGGTGGTGTTCGCGGAGATGCAATGCTGTCCCCAGGGATTATCCTGGGGACGGACGAGGTTGGTGTTGGTGTGATGACGACAACGAAGACGAAGGTGGCGATCATTCTAGGCTTAATGTGAAGAGCCGTAATATACAAAAACATAGCTTAATATAGTGCATATGTCTGATCCAACACAGGGGAGTTCTTTCTGACAAACTTGCTGAAAACAAGAGGAAGCGAAATAACAGAAACATGATAACTTGGAACAAGAACGTAGCAAATGTTGGCCGGCAGGATTCAGTGGAGATGCAATGCATCGCCTCATTTGGATTTTCGCGTAGTCGCCAGTTGCTCTTTCATGTTGAAGCTGTGCTGCGGACCCACACTGTATGATGGAAAGACTTGAAGTAAAATCTATCACTGGCTTTAAGTTACCAAGGACACGCGTGACAGCTGATTAAGCTGCATGCACATCGGCAGCGTGCACGCATCGAGAAATAATGATCTTGGCATCTGCTGTTGAAACAAAGCCAAGACAACAGGGCGGAAGATTATTTTCTGCTTTCCACTATTGATGTCAAAGAGCTGACACATGGAATTATGTTGTTGACTCAAATCTTAACAACACTGAT